TCCTGCTGATTTGTATTTACATGGGTTAGTTCTGTATCATTATTAATTGTATATAAACTATTTCTCCAAAGATGTGAATTGGATTGGCAGATGGTTAATCAATTACATGAGAATCTGCTTAATAAAGTCAGTGCATGTCCTAATGTAATTTTTTTAATAGTATCAGTTGTATAATTTTATTTCAACAATTGTTAGTAGCCATAAAACCTTGCAGTCAGTTTAATCAACATAATCTTCTTTCTGTCTAGGCAGAACTAGTGAAAGGGACTCTGCAAAGTATTGGACTTACGCTCCGCTTTGTGCAGTCCAAGGATGATGATGCAGGGCACGTTGTCATTGAAACTGTGACTCCAAACTCACCTGCTGCAGCTGCTGATCTACAGAGAGGAGACAGACTTCTAGCCATCGGCAGTGAGTAATGTCAGCTTTCAAAATAAGGGTTGTCTTGTAAACTGGGGGGATGTGTCTGCATACAGTTCAGTGTGACTGCCTTTCTCAACAGTTAGTTATGCCTGTCACTCGTAACAATCATGGGCAGTTAAGGTGGCCATAACATTTATAATATATTTTATCAGATATTATCCAAACTAATAATTCACTTGGTTAATTTTCTTCCATATTTATTTACTCTTTGCTATGCAAAAGTCAAAGTTGAATAAACATTTGAATATAAATACATTAACTGCTCTAATAGTGATGCTGTGAGGTTCTCTACTTATTTTCTTCCGGTGATGTTCTAAAATGTGCTTAGCTAAAAAGAAAACCATAACGTTTTACATCCTAAGCCTGCATATTCAGCTTTGAACCTAAAGGTACTAGAGTATGGAACAAATAGTACAAACACATTTTTGACTAGCAGAGTAATTGTCTGAGATTGTCGAAGTTATCCAAGCAGATCTGCTGAGTATTTGATAGTATCTTTATACTTTCAGTATCAATTTTTGGACATACAGGAGCCTAAGTGTTATTTAGGAATCTAGTCTGAAGTTCTCCTATTTGAATGCTTTGGCCAAATTGTAAATTGCAGATAAGTGCTGCTTTGAGGCAAAAGGTTACTCTTACTTTTGCAGGGGAGTGCACTGTGGGTTGTGTGGTTTTGGGGTGGGGGGTTATTATCTTTTAAAGAAAGATTCTGTTGAAATCCCTGGGCATTATGAAGTGAATTGGTACTATTTTATATTTTACAATTTTAAATTAGACCATCTCCAGATACAGCTTGAATGCTTCTGGTTTATATGGACCCTGTCACCAACAGAGAACTAGATCATAGTCATAAACCATAATCAAAAACAGATACTGGAAATGTTACTGCTTTAAACTTGAGAATTGGAGAGGACCTACAGAATATGGCAATCGGCTGGAGGACAAATAAACCATTAACAAGAACAATGGGTAATCCACTTAGTGGAAGGAGCAGATAAAAACCTGTTTATGATCATTAAGAAATAACGCAGTGTTTTCTGCTGGATGTTTTGGGACTAAATAAAACGTTATGGTCATTGGCAGAGAAAAAAAATGCAGAATGAACAGTGTGATGGTGAGCTATATGTGGTATCCCAGATATCCCTGCATGTGACAGCAGACACATTTCTTCTCCAAACTGTATAAATAAGATGTGAAGTAATTTTATATTTGGTTCTGCTAAGTCATTAAGATGCTATAGAAGAGTTAGTGCGGTAAAATACAATGAATATAAAACTTCATACTTATGAACTACTTAAACTCCCTGCTAGCAACTGTGCTAGCAGGGAGTTTAGAAGTGTTATATTTTTGTAATATTATTTTTTATGTGAGAGGTTTTACAGACCAGAGTTTAAGCACTACAGTGAGTTGTTATGATTAAGTATTGCCAGAATCCCCATTGCATTGCTCCAGTGATTTAAAATGACTTTGAGTTGCTTCAAGCAGGCGGTTGATGATTGTTCTGGAACAAGGGTAGAGTAATTTTTAGGCGACCTCCTGCATGACTTTATTTGCACTGTCTGCTCAGTAAGAAATCTTAGCTTGCATGTAATTTCCTGAATCTTACTATAGGCTGGAGATACTGTCAAATGGGTCTGAAAGTTCTCATGAGGAAGATGATTCAGTTCACTGTTCAGCATTACTGTGAATGTAACATCATGCTTATATTGTGTTAACATATCTGAATTATCTTCTTTGTTAGCCTGATTCTGTTTTAATTAAAGCTGTATTTAAAGATACTCATCTCTTGAATCCTTCATGAAGTGCCTGCCGCTGAGAAGTCCAAACTTACAGTAAGACCAAGGTTAAAAATGTTAGCACGTAAGAACAAAATTACACTAAGATCACATTAATGACAAACAGAAAACTGGAGTATTTATATAAGTATCTTTTCCAGTTCCTGAAGTAATATATTTGTATGAATAAAATGAAAAGGGTCCACCATTTCAACATTTCAGTTGAGCTCTTCTGTCATAATTAACTTTTTCTGTTAGTGAGCAACAGAATTATTACCACTATTAAAGATCTGAATGTTTGTCAACTATTTTTGGCCGTTTAGACTGTTATCATAATTAAAATTATTTTTATCTTTTTTTTTTTTTTAATAGGTGTTAAAATCACATCAACTGTCCAAGTGTTGAAGCTTATTAGACAGGCTGGGGATAGAGTTTTAATCTTTTATGAAAGGCCTGTTGGGTGTAATCAGCATGGTTCAGCACTGCAGGATGGATTTGGACAACTGGAAGACACTGCTTTCTTGACACAGACAGAAGATGACCAAGCTAGTATATCAGTTGATGTTGATAACAGAGATTTTGATTCAGAATTTGAGGACTTAGCTTGTGAATCACCTGAGCAAAAAGAAGATACGCCAACAACTCTGAGTCCCAAACGTTCAGTAGTAATACTTGCTACTAAGCCCCATGGAACTGTATCTCCAAGTCTGAATCGAAAACTATATTTAGGAAGTCAGACAACATCAAAAACACAACAAAAAGATGGAAATAAATTGGCAGTACCCAAAACTATTGAGGGTTCAGATACATTACAGCAATCAGGAAAACAATCGCAAGGATCTGGTACTAAGCCTCCTGTGCCACCAAGGCCACAAAGTAAGTCTGTTATGTCTACTAGTGAAAATCCAAATTTGTTAGAACCTGGAGGTGTATCTTCTGAAAAACCAGAGAAGCCACCTCCACCTATAAATAATGGAGATAAATGTACAGAGAAGGTAGTAAAGAATAATGATCAAATAGAAGATCCAGTGGTATCAAAAGTAACAACGACACCAAAACAAGATGTATTAAAAGATGGACTTTCAGAAAATTCACGTGGCTACAAAGATAGTGGAGATGATCACCAAACATGGGAATCACCAGAAATTCCTTATAAAATCCGGCAAGGCCAATGGCCAAAGTCCAGAGCATCCACGTGTCTGTTTGAAGTAGAAGGATACCATAAGTACCTTAATATTGCACTGTGGTGCAGAGACCCTTTCAAAGCAGGTGGTTTTATCTGCTTAGGTTATGCAAGCATAAAACTTGAAGAAATTGCTTTAGATTGTCTAGCTACATCCTCAATGGAATATGTTAGAACATTTAACCTGAATGCTCCTGCTCCTAAAGCTGCAGTCACTAGAACAGCGTTGCGGAATTTGACAAACCATAAGGGATTCAATGAAAAGTTTTGTTATGGTGATATAACTTTACAGTTCAAGTATTTGATAGAAGGTGAAATAGATGATTCAAACATTCTCCTGGAGAAAGAAAGTGAATGTCAAATGGAAGAAGAAGCTCGTGCACTTCAGAAAGAGGATCCTTACTTGGGACAAATTGTTTTTACAGAGAGCAAGCATAACTTTCAAGATACTCAGTTTCAGAATCCAACTTGGTGTGATTATTGTAAAAAGAAAGTGTGGACTAAAGCAGCTTCGCAGTGCATGCTCTGTGCTTATGTTTGCCATAAAAAATGTCTAGAAAAGTGTCTAACTGAGACACCCTTTTGTGTAGCAGCTGAAAAGCGAGTTGATCAAACCGCAGGAGTTTGTAGAGCAGAAGGACAGGAAGCTCCCCAGGCTGCATCCTCTCGTGTTGATACAGAGTCTAAATCTGTTAACAGAACTGCAGGTTTGACCAGGCATATCATCAATACGAGCACCCGCTTCTTAAACCTTCGTCAAGTTCCCAAGGCTCGCCTTTCTGAGCAAGGAGCAGAGGTGGTAGAACCTTCGCCAAAGCACACGCCAACAACTTCTGATAATGAAAGCAGTGATACTGAAATCAGTGGGCCAAGCAGTCCTTCAAAACGTGCATCAAGTACTGGGATAAAGTTGGTCCGAAAGGAGGGTGGTCTAGATGACAGCGTCTTCATTGCTGTTAAAGAAATTGGACGTGATCTCTACAGAAGTTTACCTACAGAGGAGCGTTTCCAGAAACTAGAATTTATGTTGGATAAGCTGCAGAATGAAATAGACCAGGAGCTGGAAAATAATAACTCGCTTGTTAAAGAAGAGAAAGAGACAACTGATGCAAGGAAAAAAGCCTTGATTTCTGCTGCACTGTCAAAGTCAGGTGAAAGACTGCAGGCCCTGACGCTGCTGATGATCCACTACAGAGCAGGCATTGAGGATATAGAGTTTTTGGAGAGCATGTCCTTAGACCGGCAGTCCAAAATCATGACTAAAGATTCAGAGGAGCCCAGTGTAGCAGAAGAAATGGATAACGAAGATGTCAGTCTGATGGAGGCTCCAACAATCAACATCATATCAGAAGAATCAGTTGATCCACCTGAATCAGTAGACTGATATTCACATATTTGTCCTGTGAAGGAATGGACTAAAAGAGTACTTTGCACTTCATTACAAACACACACAAAGAAAATTAAAACACTGGTATAATTTGCATATCCTGCTTCTCCACAGTTACTTGCCTGTGTAAGAGTACAGCTAATAATGGTTCTTCTCCAGCTGCAGCACCATCATTTTTATTACACTGGCTGGGTACAACTACATTTTGGGGTTTCTATTGGAAATTTATTTTTAATAACTTATTTTTATTTTTTCTAATTACATAACCTTACCATTTCACATTAAGGTGTGTGGTGTCCTTAATGGATTACTTGCCCTCTCCACCCCCCCAGCCCTGTTTTTTTTTTTGAGCCAGTGTTTTCAATAGGAAACTGGCAGGATTTTCAGTATGTTTCGTTTTTCTTATATGATGAAAAAACATAAGCTTGTTGCATGCCTAAACTGATGACTAACACGGAAGGGACCAGGCTTCACAATGTTCATCACAGTTTTATTGTATGTCTGTCTACTAGATAGTTGTGTATTTTTTTGCCAAACATGTCATGAAAGCAAACAAAGGGTCTTTCATTTTATCTGTTGTTAGTATTTACTGAAGTTATTGCTGCATATCATTTGTTTTCCATATTTTTGTTAAACACAACTTTTCATAGTTTTTAATTAATACGAAATATAGTAATGCTAATCCTCCTTAGAACTTTGGGCTGTTGTATCCTGATTAAATACTACTAGACATCAAAGTACATACCAGTATCTCTGAATAATTTAATTGGGAATATCTTTGCGATAAGAGGCTGGTTGCCTTGCAGAACAAAATTACATGTTTAAGTGGTGTTGTACTACCGGCTAAGCTGCTAAAGGAAAACTGTTCTTGACAAGAGTTGGAGGTTTCATTGCATTCTATGAAAAAGAATGTGATGACAGTTTAAGTGGTTTAAAAACAAAATAGTATTTTGCTGCAGACTATCATTAAGGTACAAAATACTTCACAAAATAGCTAAAGATGTTCTCTCAACACTTTTGAATATCATCATAGTGGTCAGTGGCATTCAGCTTCTCAGACAGAAGAGACAGTCTGAGTAGAAGGATGACCTTTGTCAGAAAAATGTCCTATAGTGTATATAACATGTTTTATTTGAGTCCAAATACGTGAGTCCAGTAGAGATGACGAAGAACGTCAGTCAGCTGCTTTTGAAAAGAACTAGCTGGTCTTGTGCTATGTGTAAACTCTGGATCTTAGCATCACTTGGCTAAGGCCATTGTTCTTATTTATTTCCTGTCTTTGTTTCATTTTCTGTGTATAGAAATGCAGTACGAAATATCATCTTTATTTTAGGTACTGTGTTAGCTACTGGTATCATTATCACTGGTACCATGGTGGTAGAAAAGAAAAATGCCTTTGTGGAAATGGCGTTAAGATGGTAAAATAACTCATTTAAATTTTCAGGCAGTCTCTAATGTTTCTCCCCATTAAATTTGCTTCTCAGTTTATTTTCTGATGGGCAAAACTAAGAAGCAATGGTTGTCACCAATGGCAAAGCATACTTGGACTTCTAAACAGAACGGTTACTTCCACTCATGCAACTACTTGCACTTCTCTGCGAGTTCTGGGCAGTTGACACTTATTTAGTTGATGTATGGAAAACACTATCCATGCTAAAACAGGCATGTGACACACTTCTGAAATTAAGCTTCAGCAAATAATCGCACAAAATTAGCTTCCCTTATTGACTAAAGGTTACTTAACCTATACTTGCTAGAGATGCATATTAAGACTTCCCCACTCTGTTTTCTCAGCGGCTTACCATTGGTGGTGATCTGCATTCAATCTCCATCAGTGTTTGCTCTTATGGACTACTATAGAGCTTTTCAAATATATATCCAAGTACTTCATTTAAACCCTGGTACACATGAAGGAGCTGTGAAAACAATGCAAATGCTGATTTCAAAAACACATTTGTGGGTTTAGATTGACTCGTGTAATACAGTGGGTAAGAAAAGCTGGATATAGTTTTCCTCCTGTAGTACTGCTAATGATGATTGTAAGAGAGAAATTAAAAGTAGTGCAATATTTTTAAATATGCCGAATGGGAAAAGGGCAAAACAGTTGTATTCTAGTGATAAGAAGGAAAACATGCAATTCCTATCTGGCATTAATGACAATATATGGCGAATCTCAAGGGGAGAATTGTAATACAACATTCCTGATGTAATCCTTGCTTCATGCTTGACTGTAAATAGCTGAAAATAAAGAATACCACGGAAAACAAGAATATCTTGACTTAATGATATCTGAATTAGGTGGCAGCTACACACATTTGCAGAAGATCTGCCTAATATGATTTTGTTGGCTATTATTTTATCATGAGAATAAGCTTTAATAAAATAGTTTTGCTAAATTATCAACTTCTTTGCATTGTGTTAATATTTTTTTGTTAAACATTGGTATTGCAGTAGTTATCTAAAGCCAGTACTTAAAGGAAGGCTCTTTGGGAGTAAACCACACATTTTGCAGTAAGTAGAACTACTGATATGTGGATTAACTGGGCTTTTATGTATTCTTTCTATATGAATACACATTTATTTTTATTTTATACAATTAAATAATAATACAGTTAATAATAGAATTAATAATAGAATTCTTTAAAACTATTGATTCCAGTTGGTTCATTGTGTAGCTACAAAAGGTTATTTGTGGGCGATTAAGACCTCCAAGCACTGCACAAATAACTGAATATGGTACTGGTGATAGTGACTACAACTGGAGTTACATTGCAGAGGGGAAATTGTCCAAGAAAAGTTCTTCTGACTTGCCCTGTCCTTCAGAAATGTTAATAGATAATAACTAAACAAATACTCACTGTTTACTGGCACATCTTTATCTAATCACCTTTTCCTTATAATTCACTATCGTTGGGAGTTTTTTCCTCAAATTTGAAATAAAACCTGTAGGGAAGTTTACAGCTGCAGGGAAGACTAAGTAGTCAGAGGAAATGAACTAAGAGACTTTATCATACTTAGACTGACACAGATAAAAATACAGAAGATATGAAAGAACCCAAATTATTTCAGGACAGAATGGTGGGGGTTTTTTGTATATTTTCTGTGACTTAGGAAGAAACTAAAAGTTTTTGATTACTTATTCCTCCAAAAACCCGAAATGTAAAATAACTGCTAAATATCTGTGTAGGGGCATAGAGACCCCAAACTGAAGTGTCTGCATGGCTCTTAATTCTGTCTTCCTCTAACTGCAAGAGCAGGGAGGAACCAGAACAGTCTCTGTGGGGCTGCTGAGCAAAGAGGGATAAGATACTGGTCCATAAGGCCCGTTGTTTTGTGTTGCAGATTAGTGTGAAGTCTTGTTTAATTGTGATGTGCTCTAAAGCACAAAATCAAGCCATGAAGAGTAGGCCATTCTGTTCTGCTTTTTATGTACATATGTATAAGTTGCTACATTTGCATTACTTTTTATACTTGTGAGTTTAAGCAATAAATTGGTTAATCAGCTGGGAAAAAAAGTTGTCTGATAATATAGAATTCTAACATTGATATATTAGTTTCAGATTTAATTGAATTAACAACTCAATGCTGGCCAGAAGAGTTCAGTGAAGCTAAACAAAATAACTTCTCTTGGGGCAGTGTCGAGTGCCATAGAACCACAGAATGGTTTGGGCTGGAAAGCACCTTAAAGATCATCCAGTACCCAGATCATCTACAACATTAAAATCTGAACCTAAATAATCCTCATCTGCACCATTGCTAGTTACTCAGAGGAGGTGAAGTACTCAATATATGACACTCTTAGTTTGTGTTGTATTAATATGCGTCTCCAAACACCTCTCAGCTTTGAAGGAAGGGTTTCTCTCTGTTATATATTCAAAGGAATGCAATTGAAAATAGCCACTACAATCTATAAGTGGGGTTTTCAAATCAATCATAGAACACAGTGCTTGGTCTTTCATACTACTTAAGCCTCTTAATGGTATTTTCTCAGAATCTTCACCCTTGTTTAAAGAACACAGAGGGGTATTCTGTGCACTGCACGTTTTGGGCTTATCTGTTTCCCAAAAGTCGCATCACAGACCAGCAGCCATATGACAGACTGATTTTGGAAGCTGTTGTGATTATTTGAACAAGTTGCATTTATTTATGACCTGGAGTGAAAATGTTTGTTCTGAGTTACAAATGGACTAGACCTGAAATATTTGTCAGCTTCCCCCACCCAGTATACAGTCAAACACAATGCATAAGGCAAATCATGAGGGGGATTCTTTCTCTTTTTGTTATTTTTACTTTATTACAATAGATCATGAGCTTCTTTCAGATAACTTTATTTTAATGCAGTTTGAATGCATAATTATTGACAAAGCAATACTTGAAGTTTGATCCACTATGTTTTTCATATTTTTTGACCATTGATAGTATATGTGCTTTACAAAACTATATGTAAACATAGTATCTATGCTGTAGTACATAAACCATCTGCATTTACGTGAAAGAAGGCACATAAAGATTTTAATTTTACAAATGAAAAGTTACACCATGGTTGATAAGAACATTGGGAGTGGTTTTAAGATGCTTTCTTTCAATGTCTGGTTCTTCTCAGTGCAGGTAGGGCCTGCCTAATACAGTGCTTTGCCTGTATTAGGCTGTCCCCAGCTGCTAAGAGATACTAGCAACAACCTGGTAATTTCTTTGATCATTTTTAGCAAAGTTGATTTTTAAACTCATTTTAGAAAATGAATATATATCAAATTTCTGGATGTATATGCAAATGCATGTAAAATAGTTTTCTGTTTGAACTGCTTAAGTTACAAGCCTACTTTTGGTACACACTAAGACTAAATACTGTGATGCTGCAGCTTTTCTTGACCCGTCACAGAAGATGCACCTAAAATAAAGTTGAGATATGTTAAAAATAAAGCTTTCAAAAGATGATAGAAATATGAGAAGTGTCTTCACGCTGTTCTCATTCCCTTTAAGGGAAAGGAACAGTGCAC